ATTTTTCATAAATATTTTTATTGATTTGAGACAGGAAGGGTGAGGGAAAGAGAGAGAGAGAGAAACATCAGTGATGAGAGAGAGTCATCAACTGGCTGCTTCTGCACGCCCCGGGCATGTGCCCTGACCAGGAATTGGACCGTGACCTCCAGGTCCGAAAGTTGATGCTCAACCACTGGCCACCATACCTGGGCAGCGCGGGTTTCTATTGAAGAGCCCCCTCCAGTTGGTAGCCCCTCCGTATGACGACCCTGTCCAGCACAAGGAATCACGTGGCAGCTGTCCACGGGGCAGGCCCTGGGCTCTCCTGCTCATGGTGGCAGGTACACGCCACCTGGTCTGCCACCCCATCCCGCTCCAGGGCGGAAGCACTAGGTGGTCAAGGCCCGGACACACGGGTGTCTGGACGTCACTGACACTCAGTGTGGAGCAAGTCCAGTCTCCTGACCTGGAGACAGGCTGAACACTGACCTATGAACCAGGAGGTCATGGGTTAATCACTGATCAGGGCACATGCAAGAGGCAGCCAATCAATGATTCTCTCTCATCATTGATGTTTCTGTCTCTTTCTCCTCTGAAATAAATGAATAAATACATACATACATAAATTATTTCAGAGAGAGAGAGAGAATGAGGGAGTGAGCGAGAGAGCAAGTGGGCCGGGACATATGGATATGGCTGGGCATCGCCTGGGTCCCCGCTAACAGCAGGTTGAGGTCCGACCTCAGGGTCAGGCGCTCCTGCTGATGCCCGTGCCACCCTTTAGGAAGGAAGAGAGGAACCAGGTTCTGTTCAGGAAGGGCCACTCCTGGGCCCAGGACCACCCGGGGAGAGGGCACAGCACCCTGGTCCTGTGGGTGCCGGGCTTTCGCCAGGAGCCAGAGCAGGAGGCCAGTCATTAGGGAGCTGTCCCCTGTGCTGCGGGCGCGGTGGGGCTGGGCCTCCGGCTTCTCCGCGCCCCGGGCCCAGGAGAACCTCCTGCTGTTGACAGCCCTGCTCTCCCTCAGGCTGCACACAGCACGGAGGCCGCTCTTCTGGGAGGGGTGACTCATTGCTGGTAACTCACTGGCCAATGTCTGATGAGGTCACCGTGAGGGTGCCTGTGTCCCGGATGCCCGGTGTGTCCAGCGTGAAGGACCACTGGACAAGTAGCAATTTACTGGGCTTGGTTACCGTGGGCCTTTGCAGTTGCTGTTCCCCGCCTGGAACGTTCTTCTCCCAGCGCTCTGCATGGCTGGCTCCTTCTTCATATCCAGCTGTCCTTCTGCACTGCCCCTCCTCGGTGAGGTGTGCCCTGGCCACGCTGGTCCCCGGGCACAGACCTTGACTCATTTGAGGAGCCCTAGGGACACCGAATGCATATTCCCAAGTGCTTTGCATGGGAGCCCTATGGGGTGAGAATGTCCCCAGTTTACAGATGAGCAAACCGAGGCTGGGGTAGTTAAACTGCCTTGAGGACATATGGCCTCTGAGTGCCTGGGAGGTGAACCCAGGTCTGCCCGACAGATTTCCTGCTCTGGACCACACTGCAGCTTGGGGCTGGAGGGCCAGTAGGTGGTGCCCAGGAGAGAGCAGGAGGAGGGATTGGAGATGCCACTGATAAGGGGGTCTTGTCCATGAAAACTGTCCATTCTCTTAGTGAACACTCTTTGTTGTTTTTAAATTGATTTCAGAGAGGAAGGGAGAGGGAGAGAGAGAGAGAAACATCAATGATGAGAGAGAATCACTGATCTGCTGCCTCCTGTGTGCACCCCACTGGTGCCAAGATCACAACCCAGGCATGTGCCCTGACGGGGAATCGAACCATGACCTCCTGGTTCCTAGGTCGATGCTCAACCCCTGAGCCACTCGGTCTGGGCAGACACCTCTGTCCTTTAGAGAATAATGCTTGGCATTTTCCTGCTCTTAAAAGCTGTCACTGAAAACATCCTAATGAGAGCATAAGATGAGAGGAGCAATCGCCCATGTGCTTCCTCCCGGATATGACTGTTGTCACATATACGTTGGTCTTTTTGTGCCTTACGTGTGGCATTAGCAGTAGTTCATGCTGCTGTGGGACAGACACTGCCCAAAGGTTTTCTGTAGGTTATCGCATGGAATCTTCACCACAGACCCAGAAGGTGGGACTGGTTTTTCCTGTCGTGCTTTGGGTGTAGTACTGGTACAGCCTGATTGACATTTGTTTCCCACCTCATAAAAGCCACCATTTCAGGCATGTAGTTTGGTATGATTTAGGGTATTCATGGAGCTGTACGGCCATCCCATGATTTAATTTTAGAACATGTTTGAGACCCCAAAAAGCAATGCTATGCACATTAATAACCAACCTTCATTTCCAACCCTGCCCTTGCCCCCAACCACAAGAGAAGATTCACATTTGATTAACCAGAGGCCCGCGGCATGAAGATTTGAGCAAGAATCGGTCTTCCTTCCCCTGGCTTCACTCCTGGCTGCCCGGGAGCCTGCACGTCCTCAATCCTGGCTAGAGAGCCGCTCCTGTATGTCCCCCTTTCCACTGCCCTTCCCTTCATAGCATTTGTCCTGCCCTGCCCACCGCTGCCCACTTACATATGCAAATTAACCCACCATATTTGTTGAGTGAATTTGCATACTCACTCAGGATAGGCTGTAGGTCATCATGGATGTACAGTCAATGTGCATATTTTTCTTTTATTAGTGTAGATGATTTTTTTATTGCAGTCAGAACATTTAACATGAGATCTACTCTCATTATAAGTTTTCTTATTCTCACTAGATAATATTTTTTTCCTTTTTAATTTATTTTTTTTTAGAAAGAGAGGAAGTTGGCGATGTAGAGTGGGAAAGTCAGAGAACCATTGTTGTGAGAGAACCATTGATTGGTTGCCTCTGGAACCTGTGGCCCATCAATGTGCAGGACGACACTAACCATTGAGCCATACTGGGCAGGACTCAACAAAATTTCAAGTGCACAATGGAGTATTGCTAACTATAGGCACATTGCTACATAACAGAGCCCTAGACATACTCACCCTGCATAACCTGCGTTACTGAAATATACCTGTTGAATAGCAACTCCCCACTGCCCCTTCCCCTCGCCCCTGACAACCAGCAGGCTTCTGTGAGCCTGAGGATGGAAGGTCCCTCAGATGTGTGGGCGCACACAGGACCCCTCCTTCTGGGACTGGCTTACCTCCCTCAGCATAAGCCCCAGGCCTCAGCCTGTGCAACTGGCAGGGTTTTCTTCTCGTTGTGACTGAGTAACATTCCATTGCACGGCCGTACCTCGGATTGCTGATCCCGGCACCGGGTGATGGGCGCTTGCCTGCTTCCACGTCTTGGCTGTTGTGAACAGCGCTGTAAGGGGTACGCGGTGCAGCTGGCTGTCTTCCACATCCTGATTTTAATTCTTTGGGAGAAAAATCCAGAAGTGGGGTTGCCTGCGGTCTTATAAAACTTGTATGTTTAATTTTCGGAGGCACCGCCATATCGTCTCCTACAGTGGCCGCACCACGTGACACAGGAACCATGCACGGGCTCACTGACCTATGCTGGCGTGTGTGTCTTGTCAGTGGCCACTCCCAGGTGTGGAGGGATATCTCATTGTCGTTTGCATTTGTGTTTTCCTGATGATTAATGAGGCAGGAGCTGTTCTTACCGTGGAATTACAGAATAGAAAACCGACGTCCAGAGTGAGCTGACCTAAGGTCACAGGACTGTACTTACTGGGCCCTCATATGCGCCTGGTACATACCCCTCAGAGCTGGGACTTGAACCCGGACCAGAGAGCCCTGGGCTGTGCTAGGATGCCCTGCGCAGCCCTGTATTCCAGGCCCTTCCGGAACCTGTATCCCTGCTGTTTCAGGTTCTGCCCTTTTCTCCTAATGTCCTAATAGAATGCTCTCATAGCTTTCATCCTGCTTTTAAAATACGGCTGTGAAGTGCGATGGCGTTGGAGGGCAGCCACAAATTCTTCTGTCACCCACAGCAGCCGTCACCAACGTCCTGTCCGGGGCCACTGGTGGTCCCTGAAGCCCAAAGACTGGCGACCCCTGAGTCCTACAGCATCTCTGCACTTCTGGAGACCACTCTGCCCAGCTCCAGCCAGTGGTTCTGGAGGAAACTGTCAATCACCATCCAGGGGACATGTGTGCAAGTGGAGCCAATCATAGTGCCCTATGCCCTTTCACATGATTGGTCCAGGGCTGGACACATGACCTTAGGCGGACCAATCGGACCCCTCCCTGGTGCTCTGCTCATTTCCAAGTCTTCAGGAGGTGAAAGGATGGGCTGGGAGTGTCAGAGCCCTTGGCCTGGAGCAGGCTGCCAGGGGAAGGCTGGCAGGAGAGGAATCAAAGGAGTTGGAAGGGCAGAGGCCAGAGGGAGGGGAGAGAGTGGGCCGGTGGGTTTTGATTTCTTGGTGCAGCCACCACGCTGTGCGGACCTGCTCTGGTTCTGCATTCGGGGAGCTGTGCTTCCCGATTCTGGTCCTTTCCAATTAAGCCGGTTGGAGTTGGGTCCCCTCCCTGTTGGTCCAGAGGAGATTCCAGAGCCCTGCCTGCCTGTGCCGCACTTCCCGGACCCAAGCGGAAGCACCATTGGTATGAGCGCCATTGGAAATGAGACCGTTTATTAGAAATCAATGTTATTCTAAACATCAGTGTGCTTATGATCTTTTAGAGTGAGAGAAAGGGAGATAAAGAAACATCGCTGAGAGAGAAACATCAATGGACTGCCTATTGCATGCCTCTTCCTGGGGTTCGAGCCCAGGGCATGCGCCCTTCCCAGGAATGGAGCCAGTGACCTGTGAGTGCTTGGGATGAGGCTCAATCACTGAGCCACACCGCTGGGCATAAACGCAGTTTTTCCTTTTCCACTGAGAAGAGGGCTTGGCAAAGCCCCAGACGCAGCTGTGTTGGGACACAGGGGGTGTGTGAACCCTTGGGGCGGGCCAGTAGCCTCCAGGATGGGCGCCCACATCTATGCCCTGGCAGGAGCCAAGCCGATCCTGTTGTTGGCCCGATCGAAGACGGTGAAATAGAGCCGCAGGAAGACGTCCCCCAGGACCCAAGAGCTGCTGAAGTCTGAGCCATACAAGTTCGTGAGGCAGCTGCCCGTCTCCTCCTGCAGGGGAGGAAGCACAGCCCTCAGCCATCCTGTCCCAACCCCCTCAGGCCTGGGCAGCAGCTTTATCCTCCTTCCCCTGGGCCCTCCGCTTGGCTGTTTGCTCTGAGAGATTCCCCGCCTGCCACCTTCACCCCAATCATCCTCCAAATCCAAACCTAGTGCCTGGGCAGCCTTCCCTTGCCCCTGCCCCCTCCTTGGCAGTGCCAGCTGGGTGGGGAGGCTTCCCCGGGGCTCCCTGTGTCTTCAGTCTCAGCACACGGGAATACAGGGGCCCCTGGCCTGGCTCCTGGGGTGCCTCCAGGCTTCGGGTTGAGACATTTTCAGTTGCTCCCTCTGTGGGCTGCCCTGACCTGCTGGGCACACTGTGGGGAACTGGCACTTCTTGAGCCTCAACTATATGCCAGGAAATGCCCGGTCTTTATCTGACCACACCCCAAAGGGGGCTTGGTCCCCATTACACAGACAGGGAATTGGGGCCTACAGGGGGCATTTGCACCCTAGGACTAGGGTGACCATATGATCTATCACCCAAGTCAGGACACTTGAAGATGGGAGGGAATACAGTTCCTGATTATGGGGGGACATGGGGAATGTCCCCAGCGTCCACCCCTGTCCCTTCTCTTTGCCTGTCTCTGGGTTGCTACCTACATTCGTTGTCCATGGCTCCGATGCCCGGGCTGAACTGACGCTCTGTGAGGGCCAGGCCATTAGCGCACCCTCTCCTGGAACCCAGCCCCGAGCCAGCACAGGATGCTGCTCAGAGTTCCCCCCTGGTGATTGGTGCCCTGACCCCCTTCTATTGTATCAAGAGGCTGTGCTGTGGGAGGTGCCCTCCCAGCCAGGGCTGCTGGGCAGCATCTGCAATGGCACAGCCCGGCCTCCAGGGGGCCTCTCTGAGCCATGGCCCCAAGGGTCCCTCCAGCCCCAGATCTGAGAGCAGCCCCAGGAGGGGCCCCTCACCCTCCTGATGTAGGCGCTGGCTGGCACTGGGTATGCAATGCCATTGATGGTGAAGACGATGTCAGGCAGGCTCGGGATGGCCGTACAATTGACGACGTACTGTCAGGGAGAGAGGGCGAGAGAGGTTGGCCCAGTGGGTCCTTCTGTGTGTGAAGAACTCGGTGTGACCCTGGGCGTGATTCCTCACCCAGCCGGATCTCATCTTCTGGATGCTGATGTCCCTCATAATGTTAATCATGGGGTCTGTTGGGCCAATCATCAGCGAGGTCCCGGTATCCATAATGGCCTGGCAGCTGTTCGCACAGGCCACGACCTTGCCGTCCATGGAGATGCTGAGGGACAGAGCAGGCGCCAGGGTCACTCATGGCCTCTCCCACCTCAACCCCTCCCTGCCGCCTGAGAACAGCCTGCAGCTCCCGCTGGCCTCTGTGTCCCTGTGTTCAGTCACACTGGCCTTCCTGGGCCTCCTCTCAGGTCTGGAAGGCATTGTGCTCTTTGTGCCCCAGGGCCTTTGCACGTGCTGTCACCCTTCCTCTACCCTCCCCTGCCCCTTTGTCTGGCTGATCTCTCCTGTCCTCCAGGGTGCAGATCAATCACCACTTTTTCAGGGAAGTGTCCCCCCAGATTAGATCAGGCCCCTCTCGTCCTCCAGAGGAGACAGGCAGAGCCTTCCTGGTTTCCAGAGTGCATCCTGGTGGAACCCTGTTTGCTCAAATGCTGTCGCTCTTGCGTGTCTGTCCTCCATTTGGGCTAAGCAAGCTGTGTCCTCTGCCCCTCCAGCGCCGGTGCCCAGCACACAGTGTATTGTTGAATAGTATTTACTGAGATATTTGAATGCATGAGTTCAACTGGAGACACCACCTGCTGTCCATCCAGTTATGAAGGCCACATGGTAAAGATGCAGGTTCCTGGAACGCAGGCGCTCAGAGAGGTGGGAGGGAGTGTTGTTCCCCCCTGCTTTGCCCCCTCTGCCCAGGCCCCTGGCCAGGCAACGCCTGAGCCAGCCCAGGTACAGGATGTGGGCCCGAGTCAAGTTTAAGCTTCTGATTCTTACATGCACCCCCTCAGTGATCGCCCCTGATGCTCAGCCACCCGAGTCCTTGCTTCCCAATGCTCTCGGTCACAACCCTGCCCCTTGGCACCCAGACGGGGGGCGTGGGGATCCCTCTATGTGATTTGCTTTCAGACCCCAGGACGGCTCCCTCGTGTCTCCAGCCCAGGGAGGTGGGTTGGAGGGGTTCTTGTAGGTGTGGCAGCCTCCCACTTTACTGGCTCCGCTGCCTATACGTGGCACCCGGTTTGCTGGGCACCCCTCAGGTCTGGCAGCCAGGGATGTCCTTGTTCGGATGATGGAATCCTCCTTGACCCCTTCTCACTGTGCTTGCCCCAGTCTGGGGGTTCAGCCCTCTCACGGTGCCCCAACTGCCGACCTGAGGCCTGGGCCCCATGCCTGTCCCTCCTCCTGGTGTTCCCTGACCTGCCCGATCCCATTTCTCTGGTCAGGACCCTGGTCAGTGCAGTTATGAACCCATGTTGGTGTGCTAGTGTAAGTGTCTTTGTGTTTGCCTGAGTCTGTGTGTCTGCATGTGCCTGTGCCGGTGTAGCAGTCCCTGGCATAGCTGTCAGCGGGGGGTGGGGAGGCTTACCTGTCCACAGTGACCTGCCAGTGGACCTGCTCGCTCACCGGCACCCACTGGAGCTCGCCCCGGTGGTAGGAGTGGTCCACGCCGCCGAACATCACCACGCTGTCATTCTTCTCATTGCTGGGGGGAGGGGCTCAGGTGAGGGGAGGACAGTGGGTGGCGTTTCTCCAGTTCAGTGACCCAGGGGTGCACTGACCAACAACCACCCATCCACACTGCAGGGCCCCGCAGAGCAGGCACTGCTGGGACCCCCACTGCTCCGATGGGAACTGGGCAGCAGGGCTGAGCACAGCCCAAGGTCAGTCCCGTGGCCTCTGAGGAGCAAAGCCAAGGTTTGAACTTGAGATTCTGGCTGGGCTTTGGCCATCCACCTCTCTGAAGCCGGTCAGTCCCCCTGCAGCCCCAGAGCTCGAGGCGCATGGGAGGCTGCTGTGCGGAGGGTCCCGGGTGGGCGCTCAGGCTCCCCCAGGCTGGCTCACGGGCCTGCAACACGCCACCAACGGCACGCATGCTCCCTGGGCCCCCATGGCCGCTGCCCCGTCCTGAAATCCCTCGTAGTTTTTCAACGAGGCCCCACATTTTCACTTGGCACCCCTTCCTGCAATGCAGTCACCGGTCCCGGGCTCAGGGGAGCCGTGGCTGAGGGGAAGGAAACACCCTGCCTGCCTCCCCCTCCGGCTGCGTCCAATCGATCAGCACATCCCGTGGCCTTTCCCTTCCCCCTGTGTCCTGACTCCTCAAGGGCTCCCCCTTTCCCTGCCTCCCTGGTTCCAGATCTTGCTCTCTCTCTCCAAAGAGGCTGAGCAGCCTCGTCCCTGGCCTCCCTGCCTCCTCTCTGGTCCTTCATTGTCCAGCCAGTGCCCGGGGGGAGCTTTCAGAGACATAGGTGGGACCATGTGTTCTATTTGCCTAGGCCCCTGCCAGAGGCCTCCTCTCCCACCTAAAACAAAGCCCTGGGCGGCCCTGCCCCTGCCTGCCCCTCAGACTCCACGCCCACCTCGGCCTGCCCCTCCCTCCCTCCCTGCCCGCCCCGCAGCCACACTGCCCTGCTGGTCCTCTGCTGGGCCTGGGCCTCCGCTCCCCCATGGCCTGGCCTCGTTCAGAGAGGTCCTCGCACTGCCCGTCTGAAACCACGCTCTCATCTCTGTGGTTTGTCACCACGTTTTACCGCTTTCCCAGAAGCAGCCACCACCTGGCATGTGTTACCTTTCCCTCTTATCTATTTACTTGCTTCTTGTCTGCCTTTTCTCGCTCTCATCTGTCTGTGTCATGTGCACATACCAGTACCTAGCACATAGTAGGTTCTCCATGGATATTTGTTAAACGGCTCACTTCCTGATTCGGTACCAACACCCCAGAGGCTCAGCACATGCTGCCGAGCCTGGACCTCAGGCCCCCAGGGAACCCACAGCTTCACCCACACTCTGCGTCACACACACAGTCTGCCTGCCGGGTCCCCTCTGGTCTGTGCTGCTCCCTCACCTGCTCCAGACCCTCAGCCCAATCGGGAGGGTTGTGCTTCCGGTGCCACCCCGTGACTGGAGACCTGCTGAGGGCTGGACCACCTGCCAGAGAGGTCAGCTCACAGCCGAGCTTGAGTCCTGCTCCTACCAGTGTGTGGCTGGGCAATTCTGGGCAAAGCTCCTCTTTGAACGTCAGTTCCTCAGTTTCCCTGTTCATCCAAGGAGGGACTAGAAGTACAGGGGTGGTCAAACTTTAAAAAATGCTCGATTATGCCCTAGCTGTTTTGGCTCAGTGAATAGAGCATCGGCCCGGGGACTGAAGGGTCCTATATTGGATCCACGGCCCTGGCCAGGCCGCATGTAAGATGCAACCAAACGATATCTCTCCCTTGCATCAATGTTTCTCTCTGCGTGTCTTTCCTCCTCCCTTCCCCTCTCTCCAAAAATCAGTGGGGGAAAATCCTTGGCTGAGACTTTTCAAAAAGTAAAATAAAGTAAAAGTGCTAGATTGCAAGTGCTGGATGCTGCCATTGTAGCGCAGAAGCAGCTGCAGCTAGGATGTGACTGAAGGAGCAGGGCTGTGTTCCAATAAAACTTTATTCATAAAATCAGGTGGCGGGCCACACGTGGTCAGGGGCCACTATTTGCTAATCTTTGGAGTAGACTGCCCTCAGGAGACACAGGGTCAAGTTGTCTACCATTTCAGAGGCACCTGAAGGCATCCGGAGGAGGGGCTTGGCCTGGCAGTCTTACCTGCTCAGGTAGAAGGCGAAGACATTCTCAGATATGAGCCCTTGGTTCCACATGTTGTCGAAGACCGGGGTGGTGTTTCTTAGTGCGAGGGAGGGGTAGGCCAGTCCCATTATGCCGTCAAAGTCCGATATTCTCATGGCCTTGCCGAAGTCAAACCAGGTTAGGCCAACTGCCTGGGATTTGCACACCAGGTCCCCGACCTGTGGGGGGGAGTGTGGTCTCATGTGAAGATTTGGGAAGCAGAGCTGGGGCAGGGCCCAGGGGGTGGGGGTGGCCAGGGAGGATGATGCCACCTGCACCCCAGGCATGAGCTGAGGTGCGGCTGCGCTGGAGGTGCCAGAGAAGCATCCACTGTGCATTGCCGAGGAGTCCGACCTTGGTCCTCCTTCCTGCTAGCAGCACCACAGGGAGTAAAACACCCCCATCTCCCTGCACAGTTGGGCCAGTGGGAAGCGTGCCAAGCACACCCCCCTACAGGCCCTAATGAGCAGAGAGGAGAGATCATCTTGTTTTTGGCGATCCTGGGATCTGGGGCCAGAAATGAAGGGAGTCCTTAGCGGTTTGCTCAGTGGATAGAGCATCAGCCTGCGGACTGAAGGTTCCCATGTTACAGGTTGCGGCTGGATCCCAGGAGGCAGCCAATCAATGATTCTCTGTCACCATGGATGTTTCTCCCTGTCCCTCTCCTCTCCCTTCCTCTTTGCAATCAATGAAAAAAAGGCTTCCTAGGAAACGTGTATGTGTGTGTGTCTCTGTGTGCATGTATGTGTATGTGCCTTATATGTGTTTGAGTATGTGCATGTGTGCATAGGTGTGTGTGTCAGGCACTTTGGGCAGGAAGCCCAGTTTTTTCAGACTCTCAAAGGCCCCCAAAGTAAGACCTTTTACTCAGGACCGTCCTGCACCCGTGGCCTTGCTTCCCCTGCCCTGGTGTCGGGAGCGCTCGGCACCCCCGGACTCCCAGATGCGTTCTGCCCTCTCCCGGAAAATCCCCCACATCTGCCGAGCCCTGACTGCCACCCCAGCTGTGCTGCTCCAGGTGTGGGCCTTGGGCAGTCCCGCCCCCTGTCCCTCGGGTCCCTCCTCTGTGTGCAGGGAGCAGGATCGCCTGCCCCGTGGGCTTGTTGTGGGATTAGAGTCATTATTACCAGGGGCGTGCCCAGCACAGCGCCTGGCACAAGCTGGGAATATAAACATGGGTTTTCCGCCCGGCTGGCGTGGCTCAGTGGCTGAGCGTCCACCTATGAACCAGGAGGTCATGGTTCCATTCCGGTCAAGGGCACATGCCAGGCTTGTGGGCTCCATCCCCAGAGAAGCTTGCAGCAGGCAGCCAGTCAGTAAATCTCTCACATCTTTGATGTTTCTATCTCTCCCTCTGCCTTCCTCTCTAAAATTCACAAAAATATATATTTAAAAAATAAGTAAAAACGGGTTTGCCCTCACCTCTCCCTGCTCCCAGCAAAACCAGCCTCGAGCTCACCACGGGCAAGAGCTGCAAATGCCCGCCTCCTGCCATGACCGCTCGCTGGTCGGGCCACTCCGTGGCTTGTCCGCAGAGCACTGTCTCCCCAAGGCAGATGGCCAGCCGCTGGGTGACTCTGGGGGAGACGGTGGTCCAGCTGACCCTGCACCTGGTGCCCTGAGCAGTGAGCAGAGGTCCAGGCCCCGCCCTGCCGCAGCCCCGCTCCCACTCACCCGCACGTCGTCGTAGCCCAGCACCCCGATCACTCTGCCGGACCCGTACAACAGGTCGAAGTACTGGGTCGTGCTCCGGAAGGTGGAGGACGCCCGAGGGTCAAAGATTTTGTGTTTCCCTGTGGATGGAGAGCCAGTGTCCTTCAGTGGTCAGAGCGAGGTCAGGACTGGGGTGGGAGCCATGAGGGGCGAAGGCATTTACCACACAGGCGATGGGAGCAGCCGATGGAGGGCACCCACAAGAGAGCTGAGCCCGTGTCAAAGACGACACTGAACTCCTGAGGGGGCGTTCCAATGCTGATGGTGCCAACGTAGTACATCTGCCGGGCAGGAGAGGGCGGTTAGAGCAGGCCAGGCTGCCCGGTCAGCCCTGATCCTCAAGACGCCAGCCTCAATTAGGCCGTCCCTGTCTCCTTGAAACACCTTCCCACCAGCCCACCGCACTGCCAAGGCTCAGGCGGTGCCTTCATTTGAAAGTTTCCCACGTTCCCCTGCAGCTCTGTAAATCCTCCCAGCCTTCAAGGCCCAGCTGGCCTGCTCCCTCCTCCGGGAAGCCCTCCCAGGTCACCCAGGCCTCTGTCTCCCAACTCAACGCCGGTGATGCCACTATCAGAGGCCGCCCTTTGGTTTGGCCTTTATGTTCTTGCAGACCAGGCCAGACCCTCTGTTCTCGGCAGCCATAGCACCCTGCTGGTGTGTCATAGCCTCCACACTGCAGGGGCTCAGGGACTCTGCTGGGGTGGTTCTCGGGGCGTCCTCTGCCTGGGTGTCAAACTGGAGTCCCCGTGGAGGCAGCGGTGGTGCCTGTTCAGAAGGACAGAATCTGCCCAACCAGCACCTGGTCCGCAGGGCCCAGTCGTGTGTCCTTGGCCCAAGATGGATGTGTGCCTGCCGCCTGACCATGGCTGGACTCCGTCACCACAGACCAAGAACCAAGGGGGAGTGCCTCATCCCCAGGGAGGGTCCCAGGCATCCTAGCTTTGCTGCCTGCAGGAGCCCCAACCCCTCTAGGCTTCCCTGCCCTGGGTGAACCCCAGCGCTGGGCCAGCACCAAGAGAAGGCTGTGGGCTGGGCCCCGCACACTCACGTCCTTGTAGTTCCTCAGGGGCTCCTTGCTGACAAACTTTTTGCTCAGGAACTGGTATGTGTGGCTGTGGGGGTGCTGCCTGAGGTAGTCTCTCAGCAGGTCCTTCTCCCGCAGGCTCTCCGGTGTGGACTTGATCTTCGTCAGAGGGATGCTTCCCCGGGAAAGACAACAGATAAGACAGCAGCTCCCCACCTCGCGGTTCAGTGTGGCCGCCATGCCTGGCGCTGGAGCCGCACCGCGTCTTCCCCAAGGATGTTCCCAGCCATCTTATGAGGGGCAGCCCCCACTAACGCAGGCAAAGGCTGGACAATGGCCCAGGCCTGAGCGCAGGGCCTGTTGCAGCCCCGGGGAAGCCCCAGGCCCGTGCCCAGCCTCCCTTTCACATCGTAAAGAAGTGGGGTGAGGACAGGTCTCCCGCCAGGTGTCTGGGTTTTTGAGAGGTCCCAAAAGACCTGACCCAGGACCTCGACCCTGAGCCAGTCTGTCTCCATTGTCATCTGACCTGCTCCCTCTCCATGAAGCCCTGGAGGGAGCGAGGTGGGGATCACCACGTTTACAGGAGGAACCTGAAAGGCAGGGCATTCGTGACCGCCTGTGGCCCCCTGCCCATTAAGGCAAAACTGGGTCCCGAGGACCCTCTGGGCCCTTCTGCAGGGTCAAGAAGAGGGGAGGCTGGAGTTGGGTGAGGAACCCGGAAATGGGGAAGAAAACATCGCCCAACTGGACCACCCACACAGCTGCTCAGGTGTTGCCATGAGGAATCCTGGGGGCCCCATCCACACAGGGGCAGCCTGGTGTTGTGCAGCCCCAGACCTGTCCCCGGACCCCTGTCCCCCAGTGCAGGTGGCTAACTACTCATCAATGCATGGAGATGTGGCACTGACCTGTGTTGCTCAGTGGATACACCTGTGGACTGAAAGGTCCCGGGTTTGAGTCTGCCCAAAAGGCACTTACCTCGGTTGCAGGCTCCTGCATGGTCAGTCTCAGGGCAGGGCTAGTGCAGGAGGCAACTGATTGATGTATTTGTCCCACATCAATGTTTCTTCTCTCCCCCCTTCCCTTCCACTCTCCCTAAAAATCAATGGGAAGACATCCTAGGGTGGGAATTAAAAATTAAAATTAAAAAATGCAGGGAGACGCAGACTTTAGGACAGGGACTGATGACTTTTCCTTGTCCACCCCTGGGCGGTGGAAGGAAGGATAAGGGGACAGTGAGAGAGAGGCCGGGGATACTCACGTGACCAGGCCCTCGGAGAGGGCCACCAGGCTGAGGAGCCCGATCCACCACATCGTGCGCTCTCCCCTGCGTGACGTCCTCCGGAAGGCTCGGGTTTGGAGTGTGAGCCAATGGGCCAGCGATGCCGATATATACGCTCTGACCTGCCCTTGTGATCCCCTGGGAGGGCTGCTGATGGCCCCGATAAAACACTATAAGCCTCCCGATAAGATCGATTTTCCCATCAGCACTGCAAGCCTCCTGATAAGATCTTTATTCCTATCAGCATTTTGGATCGGGTCGCGTGGCTCGTGGAAAACTTAGAAAAAGTTGGGAATACAGAGATCTCTATCGTAATCTCTTCTTGGGGCATGGCTCGGGGACAAACCCAAAGCACATGAGCTCCGCAGGTGTGGGGAGGCCCTGCTGGCTTGGAGATAAAGCCGCCAATCGTGTCATAAAAGCAAGTGCTGGGGGCCATGCCTGCCGTTCTCTGTCTCATGTTCTCCTCTACCCACCCCGTGAGCTGTCCTTTGCTGTCCGGTGGGGGAGGAGCAGGCGAGAGGAATGGGGGTCACCTGGCAGAGGGAAGACGGTGGGGAGTCCATGGATATAGGAGTGGATTTAAGTGATGGGACGGACGGTACAAATCTGGGTGCTTCCGGTCCAATCTACTCAGAGACCTGGGCTGGATCAGCGTGACCTCCATGTGACCTTCCTGCTGGTGGATGGCGGTGCCTGCGCGCAGAGGGTTCCCCCACCGCCCCGCAGTCCTGAGGCCCCGCACTGGGTGTGGGAACGTCAGAAGGCGCCGTGGTCCTAGCCTCCGGGGAGCTGGCAGGGCCCGTGAGCTCAAGGCCCAGAGCAAAGGGGAAGGAAGGCAGGGCTGGGCGGGCCACGTGGGCGCAGGGCTGGGCGGGCCACGTGGGCTCAGGGCAGCACAGGACCGTCCAAGGGCAGCCGGCTCAGCGCGGACAGCGAGGGCGTGGGACGGTCGGCCACGCTTTCTGGGGAGTCTGAAGTCTGGATGTTGAAGTGGACTCCCCTCTCCCCTGATTTTAAATGACAGCAACTAATTTAAACTAATTTAAAATTTTTTCCCAAACCCGCAGCTGTGGGCTGGAGCGGCTGGCCGGCGGCGCAGATGTGGGTGGAGGGGCGGGGCTGTTGCATTCATGGCCGAGTGGTGAAGAGTCGGAAGCCAGCCCGCCAAGTCAACCTTCCTTCTGCGAGTGAGAGAACAGCCCCAGCGTCAAACACAACCGGGTGGAATGCTGCCCCCATGAGTCCCTGAGTGGGCACCTGGCAGGGCCCGGGCCTTGGAGCCAGTCTGTCTGCCCAAGCAGATCAGGAAGGGCTCGCCCCTTTTAAAGGGTCTCAGCCATCCCAGCAGGCTCAGCCTGAGAACAGGCTGCCCAGCACCTGCCATGCTTCCGGCCGGGCAGGAGAGGGGAGCGTGTGGCTCCTCCCAGGCCTCCAGGCCTCGGGGCCCGCGGGACGGCGTCCAGGTCAGTCCCCAGCACGGAGGCTGGCCTAGCACCAGGCTGTGGCAGATGGGGTGGGGCCCTGTGCCCACCCCCTCCCCATGGCACATGAGAAGTCAGTCTGTGGATTTGGCCCCCATGGAGGGGATGCGACGACCCACCTGGGTGTAATGCAGATGGAAAGAGGAATGAATGGGCCGGATCTCGAGGGCTTATTGACTCATTTTTTAAAAGGGGACAGTCCTGGCCGACGTGCTCAGTGGTTAGAGTGTCAGCCTGAGCACCAAAGGGTCGTGGGTTTTATTCCCGGTCAAGGGCACGTACCTCAGTTGCAGGTTAGACCCCTGGTTCCAGTTAGGGTGCATGCAGGAGGCAAACAATAGCTGTGTCTCTCTCATGTTGATGTTTCCCTCTCCTCTTCTCTTTCTCCCCCCGCCCCCCTTTCTCTTCCACACCCCACTTCCACTCTGTAGAAAATCAATGGGAAAATATCCTCAGGTCAAGATTAACAAAAAAAGAAAAAGAGGCAGAACAGTGTTTGTGACACGCTGCTTTTACACACACCTAGATGTACACATGTACATGTATGTTTTCAATCAGAAACCATGGAGGAATAATCCAAAACACTAATAACAATTTCAGTTTCAGGCGAGGGCCAGGGTAGAATGGGGCTTTTCTGGTTTTATGTTCAACTTAGCAGCCGTGTAAATGTGCTAGGGAATCAAACAAACACGGGTTCCCCCCACCCTCCTACCCCCGCCCCCACCCTGAGGCCAGGAGGGCGGGTGGAGGAGAAAAGAGCCTCCGAGTCTCCGGGGCTTTGCCCCAACCTCAGCGCCTGGCCTGGCTGAGGGTCGGCGCCTTCACACAGGGGCGCCCCGCGGGCCCTGGGGGCGCCTTCTGCGGGTTTGCTGTGGCCTCAGAGGCAGGCGCAGGCTTCCCTTCCCCAGGAGAGGAAACTGCTCCCCGGAGAGATGTGAGAACAGGAAGGCCAGCGGTTCTCAGGGGGTGGGGGGTGGGGGTCTAAGGCATTCCTTTGGGATGATTTCCAGTGGCCTGTGTTCCTAACTGGGAGACCTAAGGCTTGCCGACGACCTCCATTCTTGCGCCAGGAAACGGGCTGTGTGAGTGACGACATCGCTCTCTGGATATATGAACAACTCAGAAATTAAAGCCCCACAGCCCCCCACGACCTCCTGGCACACAGCGCGCAGAGCAAAGAGCCCTTTGCGGCTTCCAGTCAGGTGTTTTCTAGGGACAAACACACACACAAACCAAAGAAAAACCGTGGGCGCTGCCCCGGTTACAGGCTGCTGCGGGCTCACGCAGGCCAGCCAGGACGCTCAGGGAAAGAGATGCAGGTGTCAAACCCAAGCAGGAAACCCCGCATCTTAGGCCTGAGTTGGACATGTCTGTGCTCACTTCTTTTGTTCTAAAAATATCTACTTCCCAGCCCGGGACTCACAGGGAGCCCCCGGAGGCTGGGCTCCAGCCTCCTCACTTTTCTGCCGGAGGGCACCGGGCTTTGGGAGACGGTGGGGGTCCGGGCCCCATCTCCAAGGCCAGAGGATCGGGGTTCTCAGAGCTGCGGATCAAACAGCTGGTGGAGGGGCGCATGGAAGAACACCCTCAGTTAAATGCAGAGGCGCGGCAGCCTGGGAAGACCCCGTTCTGCACCCCTAGGGAGGCTGGGGGCAGGGCCCAGACCATCAGCAGGTGCTAAGCCCAGGTTGGCAGCCAAAGGAGGTTCGCCGTGAATGGGTGAGCGGGCCTCACCGGGACCCGCAGCCCACGCCCAACACCTGTCAGGTGGCCGCCGGGGAGGCTGTGCCTCTGGAAGCCATGCCGTGGGAAACGTGTGGCTCCACCGAGAGGCAGTCCACAAACGGTCCCATCACGTCCTGGCCTCTCGGCCCGTTTTCAGGGACCCTCAGCTCAGCCGTGGTCAGCCCCTCTCTTCTCATGGCGCATACACTGATCCCCACACTCCGCGGCACACCGGGGGCACGTACGTGTGCTGATCTGACATAGAAAAGTAGGTGTGATTGTGACCCGTTCGCAGCGATGGCTATTGTGTTGGCTGTTGTTGTTTTGTAATCTGACCATCTTACAGTGTTTCCCAAACTTTTGACATATGTGTGCCCCTTCTATAATTTTCGTAACGCTGAGTGCCCCTCGTACTCATGAGAACGTAGAATTAGGCACAGCTAAGCACGGTGCAGTGCATATCCCCACCAAACTCCGGTGCAACGCGTACCCCCCCAAACTCTTCCCGTACCCCTGGGGGTACGCGTACCACACTTTGGGAAACACTGAAGGAAAAGGGGTCCATGCTCCTGAAATGATGGTTTTAGTCAGGTTCTGTGCTTTTTGGGGGGGCTGCACATTTTCACGTTCTTGTGGTGCCTGTTGAAAATCGCTGACAGATAAAGGCACCAGGAAGCAATCGTTTATAACTATTCCTTGAGACATTCTTCAGGTCAAACAACCCCACCCCCTCACCTGTCAAACAAGTAAGGCCATAAAAAGGTGTGTGGGCGGGAAGCTTACTTATTATAAATCTTAAGAAACAACAGGTGTCCATTTTTTAGATCCTGATTTGAATAAATAAGCTGTTTTAAGGCATTTTGTGAGCGAGTCAGGAAAATTTCAGCAGGGAGTAGATCTTAGGTGAGATGGGAGTTAATTTTGTTTGGGGTAACAGAGAATTGTGGGCCTGCACACAGTGCCCCCCAAAAATGTATGCACGCGTCACCAGCTGGTAGCTCCGTTGTGAAAATGAAATGCACTTTAATAACCACTGCGTGTATCATTATCCAAAGCCTGTGGTCCATGTTGGGGGCCACCTGTGTATTCTGTGAAGTGATACCTCTGCTTATACTATCACCGCACCCAGGAATGAAGGGGAAGGCCTGTCAGTGCGGGGCTGGAGGAAACGGGTTTGCATAGCTGCTGGCATTGGAACGGTGTCCCCCTCCGAGTCATAAGTTGGAGCCTCACTCCCCATAGGATGCGACATGGCGATGGGGCCCTGGGAGGTGACTCCATTGAGGTGAGGTCATGAAGGTGCCTGCCCTTTCCCCTGCCCCTGCCTCTGCCCCCCACAATGAGAGACACAGCTGATGCCCAGCTGGGCCCAGGCAGCAGGGCTCCCAGCCTCCAGCTCCCCAGCCTGGGTGGAGACACCAAGATTGTCCCTTTGATGCTAAATGATGAAACAAAGCCTCGTGATACTCTGTTTGGAAAGCTGCTGTGTTTGAAGGGACAAGAGGCCTAAACACTGTCATTTGGAGCTTCTGTCTGTATCGATGCCCTGAGGGGCCCAAGGGTACTGGAAGAGGCGGCCTCCAGGGCCAGTCCTCCAGCCTCACCTGCCCGTTTCCTGCTCCTCCGGAACCGGACCCGCCACCCCCAGGGCTGCGCTGTGGTCCAGCTGGAGAAGTGGGAGCCACCTCAGGGCCTGGAGGTGGAGGAATGAGGAAACGCTGAGGGAAATCACTGCCTCGCCTTTGCCGCGGGGGAAGGCACAGGCCTGGTAGCAGCCTCGGGGTCTTGCAAAGGAAGGGGAGGTGCAGAGCTGAGTAAGAGAGAAGGCCGCCAGCCGGGGCCTGGGCCTGGTTGGGAATGAGGCCTGGGCAGGATGGGCTCACTTCCCAGTGCCACTGCACCTCTGGCCCCCTGTGCTGGGGCCCCTGTGCTGGGGCCCCTGTGCTGGGGTCCCTGTGCTGGGGCCCCCTGTGCTGGGCCCCCTGTGCTGGGGCCCATGTGCTGGACA